CCCCCCCCCCCCCCCTCAGTCTCTCCAGCCCTACGCCAATGCATTATACCATCATACCGGGTTATAAATGTATGTCACAAGGCAATCTTTGGAGACGTCAGAATTTATCATAGAAGATAATCACCCTCACAGCCATGCCAGAGGACAACCTCTGAGAAGAAAAGGCTCATTATTCCCCATATCGCCCTCTTCATCCCCTGTCGTCAGCTCCACGTGGCGTGTTGGACCATAATTAGCGTATATAATTACTAAGCCCCACTACTGGATATATAACTATCAGGTGTGATTCAAAAGGTACATGGATTCTTTTGTTTGTGAGCAATTAGGTGTATGGGCAAATTGGGTGTGGGTGGGTGTATCCCCCCAACTACTGTTCACTTTTCTTTGACCAAATGTAAAAGAACTGAGCGATTCGTGGCTGGGAGACGAGATAAATTAAGTCAAATGTAATATTATAGATAGATGCATTCGCTTTTGGGGTTGACCGAATAATCACCCCGACCCCCATTTCTTAATTCAACAATCCATCTCCGCATACAATAATGATATGTAGATAATACATTCCCTGTATAATTCACGTGCCAGTGTGGACAGTGGCCGTACTATGTCCATCATTAGTAAGTATAATGAATTAGTCCCGTGTCTCTCTAATGAATATGTAAGGACAGGACAGTTCCGTGATAATGTGATCTTAAGTTATGCCTATAATGTCAGCCCTGTGTTATGCAATAATGCTAATAATGGGTTACTGTCATCATAATGACCCCCTTTTTTCTTGTAAGTTTTATGAAGTGAATGGCATATTGTTCCATGAGTTCAAATGATGTAAAGCTAATGGTCGTTTTTAAGACGATGGAGACGAATATTTATGTTGTTAGGCTACTTTTAAAATGAACTCCGTGGTCTAGTATCACATTGGAATTATGTAAATATAAATGTCTTTTGGAGCACTTTAACTGAACAAAAGGAATGTTTGTCGTGACATTAACTGAAGGAAAGAAAGGAACTTTTTTCAAACAGCCAAGAACTACAGCGTATAAGAAAGGACGGTGCTAGCTTTAGCTATTTAGATTTTTACGACAATCGTTATTTGTTACTTTATTAATGTTGACTTACATGTACATTACGTCACAGGGCCGTAGCCAGCAATTTCAAAAGGGGGGTTCTTTTTTCTGAAAAAGTGGACCTTTTTCCATAAAAAACTTTATGTACATAGATCAAATTTTACCCAGAGTGGACCTTTTCCCAGCAAAAGGGGCGGTTCTTTCGAACCCCCCGAACCCCCCCCCCTCCCTGGCTACGGGCCTGCATCATATGAAGAAGTCTCGAAGTTACCCCTTACTACTCAAAACTATTCAAGATAAAGGAAAGATCCATCACATGCATCAAATGTACATAAACGTTTCCCTGTTACTGATTTTCAAAATCACTTTATCAACCAACTGCAATATAACTTGATTTGTTGATTTACAGTGTGTTATAAAGCTTTAACAGTATTCATTTGCAAACCTGGAAAGTCCTTTCAGTTCAGACGGCAGCAGTAGCAACTGGGGCGTTGCCCTTTCCCTACGTACGAATTCTACGATTTCTAATATTGTATATTGCTAAAAACACCACAGGCTTTTAAATATTATAGCTACGTGAATGGGAACACAAACTAAATCACAGGCAGCTATGGTTAACATATCGTTTTTGTCCCTCAAAAAAGGCACCGCATCCACCGCTTCTGATATGGTTGCAGGTACGAGATGACACACACGCAATTTTTTTTGAAAACCATCCTTTTAGGATAAATTTAAAAATGAATCCTACCTCCTGATACGTCCGACTCCTTTCCTATAGACCCTGCGTACGACATCTTTCAGACAACCACAAGTACTTAATAAAAGTGAACTTAAAGCAGTGCTAAAGATCTGCTGCTTGGTTGGTCGGCGACCGAGGGAGAGAGAGAGAGAGTGACAGTGCGTCCGGCGTCTGATGCTCCTCTAAACCTAGTGCGTATATTAAACCTCGATTTAATGTAGTTCTGTGAGATAACTACGACTCCTTAGTCACTACCTAAGTTGATCACACGCGTCTTCCTTATTATCCACCCCAGGGGCCTTGAATCCCTCCAACGTGTCCTGCAACGTCTGTTATCAGAACGAAATCTTGAATACGCTTAGATATGGATCAGTGTATGAAATATACAGGCCCGGGGCAAGCATAATGGAATTTGGCTCCCGGGTTTTTCGTGACTGTTTCTCATATTTTTATTTTCCTGAGTAAAGTGCATGATAAAGGTCGTCAGTGGAGAACAAGCTAAATACTCGACTGTATTCAAAAGACAGTTAGCTTTTACTACAGATAGTAGCCTTTTCTATGGACCTCTTGAATATTTAAACATATAATCACGTATGACGCTCAAGGAATACCGCATTATCAGCGATTGAAGGGGGCACAGTAGGCCTAAAACAATTAGGTCAAATTATTGTTAGGAGAGAAAGAAAAAAGATGGGAATGTTGATAGCATTTTTCATGACTCGGCCTTGATGTGTTTTGTTTTTAGTCATCCAGAAGAAGATATATTAATTGATAGAGGTTGCCCAGTCATACATACAATAGAACGCGACGTGATGTGTGGTAGATTTCAGTGCAGAGATAGAAGAGAGAACAGAAGACCAGTGCCCTCTGAGCCTTTATATTATACCAAGCCCGTACCCCCCCCCCCCCTGTGGGGG